CCCCCCCAAAAATGCCAAAAAATCCCCTAAAAATCCCCCCAAAATTCCAAATCCCCCCAAAAGAATCCCAAAAAAATCCCCCAAATAATCCCAAAAAAATAAAAAAATTCCCAAAAATCCCAAATCCCAAGAAAAAACCCAAAAAAATCCCCCAAAAATCCCAAATCCCAAAAAATTCCCCACTAAAAATCCCAAATTCCATAAAAAACCCCAAATCCCCCCAAAAATGCCAAAAACATCCCCAAAAAAATCCCTCAAAAATAAAAAAAATCCAAAAAATCCCAAATCCCAAGAAAAAACCCCAAAAATCCCAAAAAAATCCCAAATCCCGAAAAATTTCCCCCTAAAAAAATCCCAAATTCCATAAAAATCCCAAATCCCCCCAAAAATGCCAAAAAATCCCCTAAAAATCCCCTAAAAATCTCCCCAAAATCCCAAATCCCCCCAAAATAATCCCAAAAAATTCCAAAAAAAATCCCAAAAATCCCAAATCCCGAGAAAAAACCCCAAAAATCCCCAAAAAATCCCAAGCAACCCAAAAAAACCCAAATCCTCTCAAAAATGCAAAAAAATCCCCTAAAAATCCCCCCAAAATCCCAAATCCCCCCAAAAAATCACCCAAAATATCCCCTAAAAATACCAAATCTCAAGAAAAACCAAAAAAATCCCAAAAAAATCCCAAATCCCAAAAAATTCCCCACTAAAAAATCCCAAATTCCATAAAAAATCCCAAATCCCCCCCAAAAAATCCCAAAAAAAATCCCAAAAATCCCAAATCCCAAGAAAAAACCCCAAAAATCCCAAGAAATCCCAAGTCCCAAAAAATTCCCACCTAAAGAATCCCAAATCCCCCCAAAAAACCCCCAAATCCCCCCCTAAAAATGCCCAAAAAATCCCCTAAAAATCCCCCCAAAATCCCAAATTCCTCCCAAAAAATCCCCAAAAAATCCCCCAAAAAATCCCCCAAAAATCAAAAAAAATCCCAAAATCCCAAATCCCAAGAAAAAACCAAAAAAATCCCAAAAAATCCCAAATCCCAAAAAATTCGCCACTAAAAAATCCCAAATCCCAAAAAAAAACCCCAAACACCCCCCAAAAATGCCAAAAAATCCCCTAAAAATCCCCCAAAATCTCAAATCCCCCCAAAAAAATCCCCAAAAAATCCCCCAAAA